TCCTTCCTCCCTGGGGGCTTTTTGTGGCTTAGTGGTAGCAGACAGTGTGCTTCTGGCCTGGGGGCTGGGTGCTGGGCACTCTACAGCATGGTGGCCCATTTGGCGGCATTTGTAGCATTTGATTGGAATTCTAACTGGTGCCTGGGGGGCGCTGCTGGTCATGGTGGCTTGGGAACTGCGGCCAAAAAGGTGCTTCTCCTGGGCATGCGGCGGCTTGGGTTCGGCTGTTCCTGGCTTTCTGGGGCACTCCAAATCGATGTCCAGCATCACCGCCATGCTGTACCACTCACGCAATTGGCTAGGAAAGCCCCTAATGATGCAGGCCTGGAGTAGGTCGCGGTCTAGCCCCTGCTTGAAGTAGTTGATCAACAATTGTTCTGGCCACTGTCCTAGACGACCAGAAATTCACCTGAATTCACAAATGTATTCCTTAGCAGGGCGGCCTTTTTACTTCAGATGGATTTCTTTCTCAGCCAACAGGACTTGGGATTTGTCTTCAAAACAACCTCTCAGTTGCTCCATGAATAGGTTAGCATTCTGCAGCTCAGGAACCCCTTTCAGCTCAGGAACCCCTTTGTCATGGAAGTTGGTCACCCAGTCGGCTGCTACCCCTTCCAAATTGGCTGCCACAGCATTCACCATCTGAGCATCATCCAGATAGGCATAAGTGTAGCAATCTAGATGAGCCCACACTTGATTCAGGAAAGATAGCTTCTCAGGGTCCCCATCAAAGGTGGGCTTGATGGAGGCAGCTCATATTGTGGCAGGACTGCCTGCTCTTGCTGCTGAGCTACTTGTTAGTTCTGGGGATGTGGCCAAACCACCCTGTGGATTTCCCTTGGCCGGTCTTCTGGACTGGCAGCCAGAGACTGCGGCAGCAGGTTTGGTTGGGATACAGGGCTTGACATCACTGCTGGCTGGGGAATAGATGAGGCAGCATGAGCTCCCACAGTTGGGCTTGGACTCCAGCAAGGGGGGGAGATGGGTAGCCCTTGGCATTCTCCCCCACGGTGTTCACACCCTAGGCAATGGGAACCATCTCCTTTACCTCCAATCTGCCAAATGTCTCCTTCAGCTGCTCAAGCGAGGGGCTGTGGACTGTGGACTGGAAATTTCAGTCTCCAGAGTCATCCCCCTTCTGGTATGCCATGGACAAAAATCCCTGAGATGGCAGCAACAGGAGTTCCTCTTCAGTGGCAACAGAAGTGCTCCTGCACAGAGGGGCAGCTTCAGCTTGATAGAGGTCTATTAGGATCATAGTTCCTCCTTGCGGTACCAGCTTCCCAGGTTGGATCAACTGGGATTTTGGCCGAGCCTCTGCCAGTGACACTTCCACAGTGGCTGAAGAGGCTGCTTGCGCTCCAACAGCCGGAGTTCCATTGCGGCCAGCAATGGTTCCATTCTTTTTCTCCGTTCTCAAATCTTTGCCAAGTCTTTACTGCTCTCCCAAAGGATGGGTAGGTGGTCAGGGCCCAGTACCCCGAAAGAAAATAAAAGTTTTAAGAGACTTGGTTTAATGTTATGGTTCTGACAGACAGAGATGAATAAAGCAAAACTCCGAGACTTGAGAATTCCTCAAAGAACATGTTAGTTACAAAGTATCGGCACTGTCAAAAGTGAAACTGAGTCTGAATACACATGTAACAATTTCCCAGTACAAAGTTAAATGTCCCACCCATAAAACTATGCAAGCAACTATGTTTCCCAATATGATTATTTGGCGGGCTTTTTATGCAACGCCCAATCCCTAGTCTCGGGAGTAGCTGATGACCTTGGTTCCCATGGGACAGAAGATTATTTTGACTAATGAAGCACCTGAGCAACCCCCTCCCTCTGTTCTATGTGGCAACCTAGAATGAGAAGAAAAAATGGCTGCAGCCATGCTCATTTGTAGCGTTGACATGGATTCCATCATTCCCAGGGTCACAATGAGTCAGATAGTTTCTACATGGGGCCGTACCCTTATCTCCACAAGTTCGGTTAGAAATGTAGCTGGTGCCCCCTTTGTTACCGATCTATCTAGTTCCCTTAGTCACATTCCCAGTTTTCCTACCACACCAGGACTAACCAGATACCTGGTGCATCCGGGATCTAGCAGGGCTGTCAGGAGCCCCTTGTGTCCTGAGGAAACCATGGTTATTTCTACTCTAGCAATCATGGGGAGTATGGTATATCCACCATCGGATCATCTTCCCCTTCATTGTCATTCTTGAGGATGGCTGAAGATTTCGGATCAAAGTTCCTTCTCCATTGCTGAAGGGTTGGGGAGAACTGTATGACCTTGACTTCTTTTTGACCCCCTTTTGGTTTGGATGGCCCTTCTTTCTTTCACATTGGGCGCTGGATATGTGGTTTGATGGTTGGATGCGAGGCGTGGCACTCAGCCACTCTATATCCCTCCTTGCCACAACGGAAGCATCCAATAGGGGCTGCATTGGTTTTGGCCATCCTGGGGGGGATGAAGTATCTCCCGTCACCCCTTTTGGGGTACTTCTCTCCCAAGTGGGGTGAGCTCAGCTCTCTCATCCCGTATGTTTGTGGCATTCAGCCAAATTGATTTCCCCTTTGCTTGCTAGGTACTACCCTTGAAGGGTGATTGGGGCTCAGGTGTAGTATACTCAGCCACTCTTGGAAGTGGGTCATCAGGAGGCATTCAGGCCATTTCCCCAGTCAGCTGGCTAGTCTGCGAAACTTTTAGATATAATGTCTTATCATTCACTTCCATTGTTTAATGGTGCGGATATGGATCTCTCTCATTGGTCGGTGAGTTGGTCCTTGACCCTCTCTCTTAGGGCTCTTGTGAAGGTGTCAAAATGGTACAGCTCATCAGCATCATGGAGGACCACATCCGTCACGTCTCTGTCTAAGGCTAGGGCCATAGAATCAATTCATGCTGCATCATCTGGGTACTATGCTCCACATTGCTCCATGTAGTGCCGAGGCTGGGCTAGAAAACATGCCAGCTGTTCTGGGCTCCCATTGTATTTCATTGTAAAAGGGGGAAGCTGATGGTCTACCTGAGTGTGCTGTCCCACTCACTCATATATGTAACTGTGGTTTACATTATTAATATTTCCCAGCAATTCCCTTCACCAAAAACCCAGAACTGTCCCAGTTAAGTACAGCCACAAGCAGACCAATGCCAGTTCCCATAGCAATGGCCAAAGAGTCCATAAGGCACTTGAAAGTTTCTCAATCAAAATAAATCCACCAGGTATATTTAAATCCACAACACATGAGAGTTCACGAGGTAAGAAAAGTCCAGAGTTTCCAAGGCACAATGTTAATCCAAAGCAAGGCAGGAATCACAACAACCAGAAAACATGCATCTAGGAAACAAACATGTTCCCAGCATCACTTCCATCTGTCTGCTGTGCTAAATAGTCAGCTTCCAGTGCAGCCCATCAAGAAGGCGAGGCTTTCTTCTGATAAGTAATATGGCTGACCTTCTCTGCTCCTGCCTTTTCTCTGCCCTACGTATTCTTGGATTAGGTGCAGAAGGCAGTTCCTCTTCCTCATCACTGATCGGTTGCAGATGCATCTTTCTTCATTTGGGGCCTCAGGTCTCTTCTGCCACAGCTGCGCTTCAACCAACTCCCTCACAGATGGCTGCTTGGAGCCATCAATCAACTCAGCTCTTGACATGCCAGGGGTTCATCCTTCCCTGAGCTGACATCTGGAAATGTATCTGGGGAAACTTCGAGGGGAGTCATCATGCTGGGCCAGGAAAATGGCTGGTGCTGGGAGTGTAGCTGGGGCAGGCAAAGTGACTTGTATTAGTGGAGTGATAGGTACTGGTTGGGCAGGCAGTGCTGCTAGGGCAGCTGGCACTGGCGGTGCTGTGGGGTCTGGCAGTGCTGGGATGGGATGGGGGGAGCAGTGGCCACCCCCAGCCACCAGGAACACTCTCTCGGCCCATTGGGATTGACTCCTCATCATTGGAGGCTCCCCTCATCTCTCAGGGTCCCAGGATATTAATGTTGGCTTCCATGCATGGCACCTTTTGTGCTGGCCCAACAGGCCAGGAAAGCAGTAGCTCTTGCCACATTTGTCACAACTGTAGGGCCTGAGGGGGCTGTGGGTCTCCTCATGTGTCACAGATCTAGGAAAAGCCTTGCTGCATTCCTGGCAGGGGAAAGGCTTCTCTCCTATGTTGAGGTTTTTGCAGTTGGGCCCCGGTCTGTTGCAATTTCCTCTTCATCTCTGCATGGTTCCCCGGGAAGACAGGTCATGTTGTACAATCTCCATCATAAGTTAAGCACTCTGTGTCGATTGCTGATGCTGAACCTGCTTAACGTCAACTGCCCATTCATTTAGTTAGCAAAGAAAGACTCCTGCGCATTGTTTACCCAAAAGTACACTTTAATGGAGCTTAAATGATTACAGAAGAATAGCTAAGCTGTTTCTGATGCTTTTGTGCACAAACAATGCAATTAACTTTCTCTTTTCCTTGACACCTCCCCCCCCTTATGAATAAATGTGCAGCTAGATGGTTGTATATTGTTTAGGTTGCTTTTCTGCGTTGCACTTGGATAGGTGACCTTGGCTAGCATTTGCTCCTCATTCCTCAGCTGGTATGCTTTGGTTTTACTTTCCCCCTCATCTCCTTCCTGCATTCCAATCCTTTTCCTCCCCTCCCTCCCCCATTTGCTAATGTCAGGTTCTCTGTATTGCAAAGCTTGCTTTTGGGGAACAGCACCCATAACATACACTTGGCCAATAAAGAACTATTCTATTCTATTCTATTCTATTCTATTCTATTCTATTCTATTCTATTCTATTCTATTCTATTCTATTCTATTCTATTCTATTCTATTCCATTCCATTCCATTCCATTCCATTCTATTCTTTGTTCTGATCTTCTATTCCTTGATACTCTTCTATTCTTTGCCATGCTGCCCACAGAAACATGTGTTTGCGTGTGTGTACATGCATACATATACACAAACTAAAAAACAGTTACAGATTTCTTTAAATGTATAAAGCTTTTTCTTTTTCAGATTACTCCATGTGGTGATGCTTCCATCCCAGATTTCTTTAGATTGGAGCAATTGCAACAAGAATTTAATTTTGTTTCTGATGAGGAATTTAATAGATCCAAAAGATTTTGGCTTCTTCAGCTCAGAAAGAATGAGGTAGCTGAATTTCGAAATTATAAATTTGTTCCTTTACTGGAAAGAGAGATCAATGAAAAAATTTTGCAGGTAAGAAAACATTCTAAAAATTGTAATTAAAATTTATTGACAATAAAATTCCCTGTTTCAGTATCTTCCTTAGAGATCGCTGCAGCTTTAATTTATCAATTTTAGAAAATCTGTGAAGAAAACTTATGAAACTATTTTAATTTATGAGAAGGTAGTTTATGTGAGGATATAGGTGGAGAGAAATTCTCCATGTCATAATTCTGAAATGTTTACTGAAGCAAACTGATGTATGCCACATATTTTGATCACAAACCTTCCAAGCTTGGAATGAATAAATTTTGGAATAAAACTCTTCCAGTGCTAGACAAAAGGTGTAGGTACCCTATCACTGAAGGTTTTTGAGATAAGATTGGACAACCATTTGTCCAAAATAGTATAGATCCCTTCAACTCTGTTACTCTATTATTCTAGAAGACTAACATTTAAGAATAGAAATTTCAATTTTCTTTTAAAAACATTCAGGGCAAGTGCGTCTGAGATTTCTTGCATCTTAAAATGTCTGGCTTAGTTCAGTGCAACACTTGTTTTGCAGCTGTCTTTCACAGCACACTTTTCAAACTTGGAAACTGTCCTATCTGTAAACAAATCACTAGTCTACAAGGACAGATAATTTATCTAGGGTCCGTAATCTGTGCTCTTCAGGCAGAAATTAGATGTCCAGTTCAGCCCTTCTACTCTATTGAACATCCACGCTATCAGCTCCCTCTACCACAAAGATCCTGCAAGAGAAGGGCAGTGTGGACAATTGTGGGATCTGGCAGGGTGAGAGCTGTGGACCATAAACACAAAGCTTTCGCTGTGTCCCTGCAAAATAGATACAGTGCCCTTGCTAACCTTAATAGTGACATTAAGGAGATAGGTAAAGGTATTTGTGATGATAACTCAAATAAGCAGGCGATTGTGGTCCGAGATGAAGAAGTAGTTTTTGACAGGGAGAACTGCGAATCAGGCCAGCGTATAGCAGAATTCAATATATGGCTAAAGGAGTGATGTAAAGGGGAAAGCTTTGATTATATTAGTCACGATGTCTGTAGCTGGTCCGACGAAACAATGTACAAAAGAGATGGTTTGCATCCATCAAAGAAAGGGACTGAGTTACTTGGCAATAAACTCACAGATTTTCTGGAGGAATATTTAAACTAAACAACGGGGACAGTGAGTTAATTGATACAGAACATCCCTGTGGGTTAGACAGCATCACCACCAGATGGATTCATAGCTGGCTGACCAGCCATACTCAGCGTGTAGTCCTCAATGGAACTGCATCTACATGGAGGGATGTGTGTAGTGGGGGTGCCCCAGGGCTCTGTTCTAGGCCCAGTGCTCTTCATCATCTTCATCAACGATTTGGACGAGGGGATAGATGGAGAACTCATCAAATTTGCAGATGACACCAAGCTGGCGGGAATAGCCAACACTCCAGAAGATAGGCTTAAGATACAGGAGGATCTGAACAAACTGGAAAACTGGGCGCTATCTAACAAAATGAAATTCAACAGTGAAAAAAGTAAAGTTCTACATTTAGACAAGAAAAACCAAATGTACTGGTATAGTATAGGTGGTACCTTGCTCAATAGTAGCAACTGTGAGAGGGATCTCGGAGTCCTAGTGCACAATCACTTAGATATGAGCTGGCAGCTGCCAAAAAAGCCAACACAGTGTTAGGCTGCATTAACAAAGGGATAGAATCAAGATCACGTGAAGTATTAATACCACTTTCAATACACTTAGAATACTGCATCCAGTTTTGGTCACCATGATGTAAAAAAGACATTGAGACTCTAGAAAGAGTACAGAGAAGAGCAACAAAGATGATTAGAGGTCTGGAGGCTAAAACATAAGGAACAGTTGCTGGAATTGGGTATGTCTAGTTCAAGGGTCTGCAACACTCAAAGAGCCACATGGACCCATTTCCCAGAGAAAAGAAAACACGGAGTCGCAAAACGTACGCGTGCGTGAGGGGGGAGGGAACTTGATTGAAGAGTTTAATTAAAAAGAAATAGAGGCTGCTGTGCATGAGGTCTCTCTATTTTTCCTCTCCCTCTCTCTCTTTCCTCTCTCCCTCTTTCTCTCTCTCCCTCTCTTTCTCTTTCCTCTCCCCCTTTCTTTCTCTCTCTTTTCCTCCCTCTCTCTCCCTTTCTCTCTTTCTCTCCCTCTTTCTCTCCTCTCCCCCCTCCCCTTCTCTCTTTCTCTCCCTATCTCTTTCTTCTCCCTCTCTCTCTCTTCCTGTCTTCAATGTTCTGCTCACCTGGCAAGCTGGCTTCAAGCTGTTCTCCAACAGGCTGGCTCTCTCCTGCCCTTCCTGCTTCCTGCAGAGACGCAGTCAAGGTAGGAGCCCTGCCCAAGAAGCTTGTCGGCTCATCGGAGAACAGGGTGAGGCCACTCTCTTTTTTACACACACACACACACACACACACACTCAGAGAGAGAGAGAGAGAGAGAAGGGAAGGGAAGCGCAAGTGCCTCTTTCTGTCTGTCTCTCTCTCTCTCTCTCTCTCTGCAAATGGCAGAGGAGGCTGGGAGCCGCAGGAGAAGGCTTAAAGAGCTGCATGTGGCTCCGGAGCTGCAGGTTGCCAACCTGTGGTCTAGTTTAATGAAGAGAAGGACAAGGGGGGACATGATAGCAGTGTTCCAATATCTCAGGGGCTGCCACAAAGAAGAGGGAGTCAAGCTATTCTCCAAAGTACCTGAAGGCAGGACAAGAAGCAACGGATGGAAACTAATCAAGGAGAGAAGCAATCTAGAACTAAGGAGAAACTTCCTGACAGTTAGAACAATTAACCAGTGAAACAACCTGCCTCCAGAAGCGGTGAATGCTCTAACACTGGAGGTTTTTAAGGAGAGACTGGACAGACATTTGTTTGAAATGGTATAGAGTTTCCTGCCTGAGCAGGGGGTTGGACTAGATGACCAATAATAACTTTTTATTATGGATCATCGCACAGTCAGCCAGATGTTCAGACTGGATTTGGCATTTTGTCTACCTATCGAGTCCTTACCCAGGACCTGGGATAGGCAGATGTGGATGTTTGATGGTATTACAGGTATCGTCGCAGGATGGAAGCAGTTCCTAAGTAAGGCCGCCTTTTGCAATTGACTAATAGCGAATTTGTCAATGCCAATGGTGTTCAAGTGGTGCTCCAGTTGTTTTGGGATTGCACCCAAGGAGCCTATTACTATTGGTACTACCCTTGCTTGCTTTTGCCACAGTCTTTCTATTTCTATTTGTAGGTCTTTGTATTTTGTTATCTTCTCCAGTTCTTTCTCTTCTATTCTGCTGTCTCCAGGCACTGCCACGTCCACTATCCAGACTTTTTTGTCTTTCTTATCGACAATTGTTAAGTCTGGGGTGTTATGTTGCAGGTGCTTGTCTGTTTGAATTCTGAAGTCCCAGAGCAGTTTAATTTTATCATTTTCTATGACTTTCTCTATTTTATGATCCCACCAGTTTTTGCTTACAGGCAAATGATATTTTTTGCAGATCTTCCAATGCACCATTGTTGCTACTTTGTCATGCCGCTGCTTGTAATCAGTCTGTGCAATCTTCTTGCAACAGCTTACCAAGTGGTCCACTGTTTCTTCAGCTTCTTTGCATAGGCGGCACTTACTGTCTGTTGCTGTCTTCTCAATTTTGACTTTGTATGCATTTGTCCTTAAGGCTTGGTCTTGTGCAGCCAGAATTAGTCCCTCGGTCTCTTTCTTCAATTTTCCTGCTCTTAGCCATTGCCAGGTTTTATTATTATCTGCTTTCCCAGCTATTTTTTTCATGTATTGGCCATGTAGTGCTTTGTCTTCCCATGCCTCTATTCTGTTCTTCATTTGGTCTTTCTTGTAGGCCAGTTTGGTCTCTCCAGTAGTTAGTAAGCCTTCCTGATATACTAATTTCAGTGCATCTTCATCATTGTTCTTCAGATATTCTTCCAAAGCCATTTTTTCTTCTTCAACCATCTGATGTACTTGTAGCATTCCACGCCCACCTATTTGCCTTGGTAGATAAAGTCTATCAATGTCACTGCGTGGATGAAGGGCATGATTCATTGTCATTATTTTTCTGGTCTGCCTATCCATTGCTTTTAGTTCTGCTTGAGTCCAGTCCACTATTCCAGCTGTGTACCTAATGACTGGGATTGCCCAGGTGTTGATTGCCTTTATGGTATTTCCTCCATTGAGTTTGGACTTTAAGATCTTCTTCACTCTCTTGATGTATTCACCTCTAATCTTTTTCTTGACTTCAGTGTGCTTGATGTTGTCAGCTTGAAGGATACCCAAGTATTTGTAGTACTCTTCCTCATCCAGACTCTTAATGTTATTTTCGTGGGGCATCTTGATTCCTTCAGTTTTCACTATTTTTCCTTGTTTGATAGTAAGTGTAGCACATTTGTCCAAGCCAAACTCCATTACAATATCTTGGCTATATATACGGACAGTGTTGAGCAGCGATTCTATTTCAGATGATGTTTTTCCATACAGCTTCAGATCATCCATGTAAAGGAGGTGGGATAGTCTGGCAGATGTTTTTGATGTTTGATAGCCATGTCCTGAGTTATTCAGTATTGTTGACAGAGGAAACAGTGCAATAACAAATAGTAATGGTGATAATGAATCTCCTTGAAATATTCCTCTCTTGATATTAACCTCTCCCAGCTTCTCACCATTGATCTGCAACTGTGTCTTCCATTGTGCCATCGATCTTTGCACAAATTTTCTGATGTTTCTACTGACTCCTGTTATTTCTAGGCACTTGATTATCCAATCATGTGGCAGAGAGTCAAATGCCTTTTTGTAGTCAATCCATGCCACATTCAGGTTGGTCTTCCTTCTCTTGCAGTTTTCCAAGATCATTTTGTCTATTAGGAGTTGATCTTTTGTTCCTCTGCTATTGGGGCGGTTTCCTTTCTGCTCAGGTGGAAAGAGATTGTTTTCAACTAGATGCTGTTGTACTGCATCAGCTACCACACCAGTTAGTAATTTGAAAGTTGTTGGTAAGCAGGTAATTGGCCTGTAGTTACCTGGTGTTGCCCCTTTTGCTGGATTTTTCATTATTAGGTAGGTTTTCCCAGTTGTTAGCCACTTTTCAATTTCTCCTCCTTGTAGTATATTGTTGAACTGCTTGGCAATGAGTGGGTGTATAACAGTTAGATGTTTCAACCAAAACCCATGCAGTTCATCTTCACCTGGTGCTGACCAATTTTTGATTTTCTTTGCTCTTTTTTCTACCATTTTTGTTGTTATTACTAGTTCTTTCATTTCAACTTCTGTTTTATTTGCATCCACCTCTTTTAACCAAGCTGCATCCTTGTTGTATTTCTTTGGGTTATCCCATATCTGCTTCCAGAACTGCACTGTTTCTTCCTTGTCAGGTACTGACTGATTCCTTGCAGTTTCTCCATTGATGGATTGGTAGAAACGTTTCTGATTGGATTGAAATTGGAGGTTCTGCCTATAGTTTGCAATTCGAGCTTCATATCTACTGATTTTCCTGGCTATAGCTGTTATTTGTTGCTTTATTATTTCCAGTGCTTCCTTGATCTTCCTTGTTTCTAAGTGGTATTTCTTGATTAGGTATTCTTTGGTCTTCTTGTTCTTCAGCTTCTTTTCTTTCATCTGTTCTAGCTTGCTTGCATGTGATCTTAACTTGCTGATCTTATTTTCTAGTCTAACCTTCCATTTTTGTGGTGCACTGTTTGTTTGTTTTTCTTCTTTGTTGATTTTGCATCCCAGGTATTCTGTTATAACTGCAGCTGTGCTGTACATTAGTTGGTTTGTTTCTTGCAGTGAATTGGTGCTTATACTTGCTATTGCAGTATTTGCATCTTTTAATGCTTGTGCTAGCTGTTTCTTTGGAACAAGCTTCAATGCAGGCAGCCTTATTCTGTTGTTTTTGTGCTGTTCTAGATGCTCAGTTATTCTTTGTTTCAATTCTTTTATTTCTTTAGTTAGAGGGTTTTGTTCTTCCTGAGGAAGAGGTGCCTGGTTTCCAAATGAGAACAGTTGTATATCTCTGCTGGATTCTTTCACTGCCAACTCCCCCTGGTTTGCCTCTACATTCTGAATTACTTCTTGTAAGGCTTTGATTTCTTTGCCCTGGGTAAACCTTTGCAGTTCGTCCAATTCTGTTTCTGTAAATACTTTATTTCGTGTTATAAATCGGCGTTGATCTGCTAGTCTCTGTTCTGTTATTTCTGATTCTGGATGTTGTTCTTTCCAGAACTGGTGCATTCGTTTTAGATATCCTCTTCTTGTTGGACTTGATCTGTAGTAACAGATCATTATTTCTTTGTTTTCCATCACTGTGTATCTGCGACGGGTAAACACCTTTTCTTCCAGTAGTTCTGCAGCTGCTGGCCCTGGTTGCTCAGCCAACAGTCCTGAGTCCTGTAACCCATTTTTCACCAGATATCCAGGAACTCCAATATCTAGTGCGGACCTTGTTAACCCGGGCGACGTCCGAGCCGGTATGGCATTCTGAAATTTACGTCTCACCATATTTTTTATGGGAGAGACACTCTTTGTCTGACTCCTCTGATGAGACCTGTCCAGTATGGTTGAACCTCTGGCATAGCTCTCATCTTCCTCAGAGTACACAAGCCCCACAACCACGTCAAGGGATTATTATATTATTATTATTATTATTATTATTATTATTATTATTATTATTATTATCGATCGTCGCACAGTCAGCCAGATGTTCAGACTGGATTTGGCATTTTGTCTACCTATCGAGTCCTTACCCAGGACCTGGGATAGGCAGATGTGGATGTTTGATGGTATTACAGATATCGTCGCAGGATGGAAGCAGTTCCTAGTAAGGCCGCCTTTTGCAGTTGACTAATAGCGAATTTGTCAATGCCAATGGTGTTCAAGTGGTGCTCCAGTTGTTTTGGGATTGCACCCAAGGCGCCTATGACTATTGGTACTACCCTTGCTTGCTTTTGCCACAGTCTTTCTATTTCTATTTGTAGGTCTTTGTATTTTGTTATCTTCTCCAGTTCTTTCTCTTCTATTCTGCTGTCTCCAGGCACTGCCACGTCCACTATCCAGACTTTTTTGTCTTTCTTATCGACAATTGTTAAGTCTGGGGTGTTATGTTGCAGGTGCTTGTCTGTTTGAATTCTGAAGTCCCAGAGCAGTTTAATTTTATCATTTTCTATGACTTTCTCTATTTTATGATCCCACCAGTTTTTGCTTACAGGCAAATGATATTTTTTGCAGATCTTCCAATGCACCATTGTTGCTACTTTGTCATGCCGCTGCTTGTAGTCAGTCTGTGCAATCTTCTTGCAACAGCTTACCAGGTGGTCCACTGTTTCTTCAGCTTCTTTGCATAGGCGGCACTTACTGTCTGTTGCTGTCTTCTCAATTTTGACTTTATATGCATTTGTCCTTAAGGCTTGGTCTTATGCAGCCAGAATTAGTCCCTCGGTCTCTTTCTTCAATTTTCCTGCTTTTAGCCATTGCCAGGTTTTATTATTATCTGCTTTCCCAGCTATTTTTTTCATGTATTGGCCATGTAGTGCTTTGTCTTCCCATGCCTCTATTCTGTTCTTCATTTGGTCTTTCTTGTAGGCCAGTTTGGTCTCTCCAGTAGTTAGTAAGCCTTCCTGATATACTAATTTCAGTGCATCTTCATCATTGTTCTTCAGATATTCTTCCAAAGCCATTTTTTCTTCTTCAACCATCTGATGTACTTGTAGCATTCCACGCCCACCTATTTGCCTTGGTAGATAAAGTCTGTCAATGTCACTGCGTGGATGAAGGGCATGATTTATTGTCATTATTTTTCTGATCTTCCTATCCATTGCTTTTAGTTCTGCTTGAGTCCAGTCCACTATTCCAGCTGTGTACCTAATGACTGGAATTGCCCAAGTGTTGATTGCCTTTATGGTATTTCCTCCATTGAGTTTGGATTTTAAGATCTTCACTCTCTTGATGTATTCACCTCTAATCTTTTTCTTGACTTCAGTGTGGTTGATGTTGTCAGCTTGAAGGATACCAAGTATTTGTAGTAATCTTCTTCATCATCATCATCTTCATTATTATTATTTTCAATTTTTCAGTTTCTGTTTTCAACTAAACATTTAAAAAACAGTTTATATTTTAATTCTTTAGAAATTTTTAAATTCTTAATAATCTAAGAGGAAAAAATAAAAAATCACTGAAAAAGAAACACTTAAAATGGGATATATTGAGCGTATGCCCCACAAAGTTCCAAATTACGCATGTATTACATGTAAATCATATGGAATACTGGATCGGTTTTGGTCACCACACTACAAAAAAGATGTTGAGACTTTGGAAAAAGTTCAGAGAAGAGCAAGGAGAAACTTCCTAATGGTGAGGACAGTTAACCAGTGGAACAGCTTGCCCTCAGAAGTTATAGGTGCTTCATCACTGGAGGTTTTTAAGAAGAGACTAGACAGTCACTTGTCTGAAATGGTATGGAGTCTCCTGCTTGATCAGGGGGTTGGACTAGAAGACCTTCAAGGTCCCTTCCCGCTCTATTCTGATTGGTTTAAAACTGGGCCTTCTAGTGGAGTGTTCTAAATAGTGTTGTATTTTATTAAATGGTTTCATGCATACTTTAAAAAAATGAAGGGTGAAATAAGGATATAAAAAGAAAATACTAAATCTTTAACTTATCAAACCATTCAAAACTTCCCATTGAATAGATGTTGAGACTCTAGAAAGATTGCAGAGGAAGAGCAACAGATGATTAGCGTACTGGAAAATAAAGTATATGATAAACCCATTGCAGGAACTAGGCACATGAAATCTAACAAAGAGAAAGACTAAGATTCATATAATAACATTGTTTCAGGAATTGAGGGGCTGTCACAGACAAGAAAGACCTATTTTCCAAAACTCCCAAGGTTGGACAAGAATTAATAGGTGAAAGATCATTAAAGAGCGAACTAACACTTTGCCTCCAGAAATTGGTGGTACTTCATCACTGGACGTTTTCAAGAAAAGATTGGACAACCATTTGTCTGAAATGGTATAGGATCTCCAGCTCGAACAGGGATTGGAATAGAAGACCTCTATGATACCATCCAATCCTATTATTCTATGTTCATATGTTCTATGTGATTGAATGTATTGGATGGTCCCAGTGAATAAATGGTTATGACTGAACCTGTGATATGAATTCAGGCGTTATCTCCAATATTGGAGGCAAGTCCATAATTCTCATTTTCAACCATTTTACACCCAGGGCTCAAGATATTCTGAAGTTTTCTCCTTTTAAGGTACTCCAGAATGTCTAAAAGTTTATTTTATTTGGCAGGGGAGGGAGATGATGAGCTATGCTGCTTTTGATTTTTCTTCTGATCTGACTTTCTTCTGATGGCTTTTTGATTCCTGCTGGCAGGAGAAAATGAAGGAGAAGGAAAGACAATACAATATGTTTTGAAAGACAGAGGTCTAAAGGGCTTTCATTGATTGTGGTGGCTCTTTTTCAGGACTATGAGAAAAGATTGCAAGAGAAGGATGTCATTGATACCAAGGACTATTCGGATGCACACAGAGCAATTGTTGCAAAGTACATGGAAAAGGTAAGGTTTTTTTTAATGTAGCTAATGTAACATATACTTGGAAATAGTTGGGAAAAATTCTAACCCTAAACATAACCTTAAATAATTGAAAGTAGCATAACTCCAATGGCAAGATGGGTGGCATATATATTTAATAAATAAACAAAAATACTTGGAAATATTCTGTGAATATCTCTGCAAAAGATGCGATACATCTTTATGAGTTGTAAAATAACAGGGTATGTTTTAAGTTAAATCATTTAACTAAATAGTTAAAATTATATTTAATAAGTTAATAATAAATAAAAATTTATAATAGAAATAAATAATACAAATATTTCCTGTAATTTATCTCTGCCACCACATTGCTTATGTCATCATATTCTGATTTCTTAACAAACCAGGGAAGTTAAAGGCCAAATTATAAAAACAGTTTTGCATCTCAGGTGCATTATGTTTTGTTTTGTTTTAATGTGAGCTACATGAGCTAAAAACAGCAGTGTGGATTTTCCCTCAGTAGGACAAAATGAATAAGTCCATTAAGAAAGGACAAACTTTTGCAAGATGGATCAATCTCTGCAGCTTCTAAACATGCAAATAAGAGCGTTGTCTTACCTGAACGCTTTTTCTCAGCAGGATGGTGTAGACTCCACTGATTGGGTAATTTAATCCCACCTGCTCAGACTAAGACAAAAAAACTCTGCCACGCCTCCTTCTGGGTGTGACTTCCCAGTTTTTGTCGAGGCGAAGCTACCAGACGCAAGGCTCCAAACAAAAAAGGAAGACACAGGCCTAGACTAACACTAACAGGGTGGGTGTGGAGTCTACACCATCCTGCTGAGAAAAAGCGTTCAGGTAAGACAACGCTCTTTTCTCCATCAGGATGGATGTAGACTCCACTGATTGGGACATACCAAAGCTGCTCATGTCCCTATAGGGAGGGAGTCTAGGCTTGTGACCCCTGAGAACCCACTATTTGCTGTAGGACTCTCCTACCGAAAGCAGCCTCAGCTGCTGCAAATTGATCTATCCTATAATGTTTTATGAATGAGGAAGGAGAGGACCATGTCGCAGCCCTGCAAATCTCCTCGAGTGATGCCTGGGTAGACCAAGCCGCTGAGACAGCAGCACTACGTGTAGAGTGAGCAGTAATATGTGAAGGTACCGGAAGGGACTGGGAAATATAAGCCCTGGAAATACACATCCTTATCCACCGACCAATGGTGGAAGAAGAGACCTTCCGACCCATAGTTGAGGGTTGAAAGGACACGAATAATGCCTCGGACTTCCTGAAGGTCGAGGTTCGTTTAATGTAATGGCGCAGAGCCCTGCGCACATCCAACATATGCCACCGTCTCTCCAGATGATGGGAAGGGTTAGGACAGAAGTTAGGAAGGACTAGTTCCTGCGAGCGGTGAAACCCTGTATTGATCTTTGGAACAAATGCAGGATCCAACCTGAGGACCACTCTATCCTCATGGAACATGCACAAGTCCTCCCTGACCGACAGGGCCGCCAATTCTGAAATCCTCCTGGCCGACGTGATGGCCACTAGGAAGGCTACCTTCAATGTAAGGAAGTGAAGGGAGCAAACTTTCAGAGGTTCAAATGGAGAGGACGTTAAAGCCTGTAACACCTTAGAGAGGTCCCAGGATGGATAACGATGAACCGTGGGGGGCCCTACATTGGCCGCACCCTTGAGAAAGGCACTGACTGCTGGGTGTTGGGACAGGGAAACCTGGTTGTCACAGGTGAGAACTGTCGACAAGGCTGCTATCTGCCTACGTATGGTGCTGGTTGACAGACCTCTAGTTAACCCCTCAAGTAAGTAATCTAATATGTCTGGGATGGAGACAGCAAGCGATGAAAGCCGCTTTTTGGTACACCAAGAGCAAAAACTTCTCCAAGTGGCGTCATAGATTCTGTTGGTCGAGGGACGCCTCGAGGCCTGGATGACGGAAATAACCCCAGAGGAGAAAGACTGTTTGGTCAGACTCTCCCGCTCAAGTGCCAAGCGGCTAATTGGAGCCACTGTGGATCCGGATGTTGGAGGTTCCCCTGGCTGAGAGCTACTCGGTCCGGGGGAATCTTCCATGGAGGTGAAATTGACAGGTCCACCAGGTCGGCAAACCACGGGCGTCTTGGCCAAAATGGAGCCACTAAGATTAGCTCTGCCTGTTCCTGGATGAGCTTGCGAATGGTCGCTTGTATTAGTGGAAGAGGAGGGAATGCATAAAGTACGCCCTCCGGCCATCTGCTCCGGAGGGCGTCCGTTCCCTCCGCCCCCCTCGCCGGAAACCTGGTAAAAAATCTGGGGAGCTGTGCATTGATCGGAGAGGCAAAGAGATCTAGGATGGGCTGTCTGAACCTGCGTGATATTTCCTGGAATAAGATTGAGTGTAGCTTCCACTCTGAGTGATCCACTGTGACCCTGCTCAAGGAGTCTGCCTGTTGATTCGCCTCCCCCGATATGTGCTCTGCCCTGATGGACCTCAGGTTGGACTCTGCCCACAGCCCTATGGCCTGGGCTTCCTGCATGAGTGTCCAAGAGTGGGTGCCCCCTTGTTTGTTTACGTGAGCTTTGGCCGCAATGTTGTCTGTCAGGATTAATACGTGTTTCCCTGATACAAGGGGGGAGAATCTTTGGAGAGCCAGGTGGATGGCCCTGAGCTCCAGCCAATTTATATTGTGAGCCAGGTCTGAACTGGACCACTGACCCTGGGCTAAGTGGTTCAGAATATGACCGCCCCAACCGAACAGACTGGCGTCTGTGGTGAGGGTGATCCTGGTGGGTTCCTTGAACAGAGTGCCCTTGGACAAGGCGGACGAGGTCCACCATAGGAGGGAGGACAGAGTGTGATGGGGAACCCTGACCTTCCTGTTGGAGGCGCTGATGTTGTGTTTCTGAAAAGGAAGAAGGAACCACTGGAGGTTCCTGGAGTGCAATCTGGCCCAAGGAACGATGCCCAGGCAAGAGACCATCTTCCCCAGGAGTTGGGATAATTGTACCAGGGGTACTTTTTTTTCCCCTCGGATCTGCAGTGTCAGCTTCCGGATGCTGACTTGTCGCTCCTGGGAGAGATATACCTTGCATAGGCTGGAATCTATCAGAGCTCCTAGATGGAGCAGACGTCTTGTGGGTGTGATGTGACTCTTTTTGAAATTCACGGAGAACCCGTGATCCTGAAGTGTTTGAATAGTGATTGCCAGGTCCGACTGCCCTGATTGGAAAGATTTGGACTGTATCAGTATGTCGTCCAGGTAGCACTGTACCCGTACGGGTATCATCCTTAGATGAGCCGCCAGCACGGCAAGATTTTTGTGAAGACCCTCGGGGCCGAGGATAGGCCGAAGGGAAGAGCCCGGTACTGGTAGTGTTTGTGTGCGTAACAGAACCGCAGGAACCTGCAGTGTTCCTGGATGATCGGAATGTGTAAGTAAGCCTCTGTCAGGTCGATGGAGGAAAGGAAATCCCCCTTCCTGATACTTGCCAAGATGGACTTTAGGGTCTGCATCTTGAACCTCCTGTAAATGAGGAAGTAATTTAGACCCTTTAGGTCCAGTATCGCCCTCCAACTGCCTGAGGCTTTGGGAACTACAAACAGGATGGAGTAGAACCCTTCCCCTATCTGTTCCTGAGGAACCCTTTCTATGGCTCTGATCTCTAATAAATGAGCGATGGCTGTTGTGATTAGTTGTGTTTTTGATGTATTGTTTGAAACCGGGCACTGTATAAAACGATCTGGGGGAGAAGATCGAAACTCTAGGGAGAGACCCTATCTTATGGTCTCTCTGACCCAGGCGTCTGTGGTTGTGTTTTCCCAAACGTCGTAAAACAGTGCCAGTCGACCCCCAATGGGATAGTCCTCCTTGGCGTCACTTGGACCGCCTGTAAGGACGACTGCCTGATCCCCTGAAGGGACGCTTGGTCTGGAACTGACCCCTGGCTGCACTACTCTGGCGGTCCTGTTGCCGATCCTGTCTGAAAGAATAGGATCGCGAGCCTCTGGGCCAATCCCAGGACTGCCCTGCCCGAAAGGGCTGTCTCCAATCCCAGGAACCGCTGGGACGGAATGATGGCCTACGGAAGTCCTGTTGGGGCCGTCTATCTGGTTTTTTAGAGGGATGGGCCAGCGCCTTGCGCTTGTCCTTGCCCTCAATGATGTGAGGCTCTAGGACCGGACCAAAAAGGTGGGTGCCACTGTACCTAGATGTTGCTAAGCGCCACTTTGCCTTTAAATCCGTGCGCCATTGCTTCAACCAGAGCAGCCTACGTGACGCCACTGAGGCTGCAATGGATCTGGCTGAACATCTAGCCGAGTGTAAGGATGCATCCGCAATGTATTCGGATGCTGCCACTATTTTCCCTGTTGTTTGGTGCGCTCTGACCTGATCCGGCGGAATGAGCGTCTGGAGTTCCTGCAACCACATAATTGCCGAGCGTGCAAAGAAGGAGGATGAGGTTGCCGCCCTTATGGCCCAAGCCGAAGATTGGTGAGCTCTACGAAAAGAGAACTCAAACTTTTTGTCCTCTGCCTTCAAGAATTCAGCCATGTCCCCCGGGACGGCGGTATTGGAGAACAGAGAGGTCAGCGGAGCGTCTACAGATGGGACTTCTAGAAGAGAAGCGAAAGAAGAAGAGACATTGTAAAGTTTCTTGTCTAAACTGCTCTGTGAAGGAGTGGTAGCAAGGGATGCCCACTGCTTTTCCACCGTAGACCTGAAGACTAGTGGGCATGGAATCTGCGGTTCCTCCTTGACCTTTTCCGCAAACAGAGGGTTGGCTTCCCGGTTGGATGAGGAAGAAGGAGTCTCCTCCTGGGCTGAGGTAAGTTTTACCGTGTCAATAGCCCTTACGAGGAGTGATCGAAAAATGGCCGGATCGAAAAGCCCGGAAGAGGTCACCTGTTCAGGAGCTGGATCCTCCTCCTCAGACAAGGGAGTGTCTGCAACTCCCAGTTCCACTGATCCCTCCTCCCCTAATTGTGAGGATGTCTCCGAAACAGCAGAGCTAGGTCTAGTGTCACGCTCCACCAGAGGTGGGGGAATAGATGCGGGAGGAGTAGGATGGGACTGCACCTGGCTACTCTCAGTTGATGACATAAACTGCCTGAATGCTTGGTGCATGAAGGCCTGGAATTGAGCCTGGGACCACATTTCCCCTTGGTCCCTGGAACTGACCCCAACCTCCGTTGAGGCACACCTGGTCTCAGGTGGTTGGTGTGCTGATGAAGGAGAGGAGCGAGGAGGACCTACCTGCTCGGTTTCCCCCCGAGGAGACCAAGGTCTTGGGGCATCCTGAGATGATTCAAATTGAGGTTCTGTCAAAGGAGTATCCAGTGGGGCGGGGGAAACCGTTTCAGTCCCACTGGATCTGAGCCTTTGTGCCTTGGAGAATTCTCTCTCCAATGCTAAGTGTCTCCTTGTGGCCTCTCGCCCGGCTGATTTGGAAGTATCTTTGGAAGACAGATGTTTGGTTTTAGCTTTTTTCTTCCCCCCCCCCATGTCCAATTCTTCAGATCTGCGCTTTGCTTGAGCGGGGGGGACACTAGATTGAGAAGCCTGGGGCGAGGAGCTGTCTGCCATTGCTGGCTAGGTATTCCTGGACAGTAGTACCTAGAAATGGGGGGAGGAACCCAACACGCAGATCACAGTCAGAGATGGAAAACCGATCCTCGCTCTGAACAGAAGGCAATGGCAAGAACAGCCAGACAGTGTTCTAATGCTGTCTGTACAGGCCTTGTGACAAAAGGTCACGGGCTAAACTGAGAAACAGGTGGACAATAAAAGAATCTCTTCGCTCTTCTCTTCTAGGCCTTAGGACCAGTTAATAACACCTTGGTCTGCTCAAATGCAGCCAAGGCCCACACCTGGAGTAGCCCCCTCAAGTTTGACCACAACTCCTGTGGATACAAAAATATCTCCCCCCCTGAACAGGTCTGCTCACAGACCAAGTGACACAGGCAACAACTATGCGTCCGCCATAATGCAGGAATAACTGCCAATGATTATGCAAAAATTTCAATTAGGCCTCCAAAATGGCGTCCGCCACGTGGGACCTCTAGAAGCAGCCGCGCTAGACCATGCGGTCAAAATGGCGGCTGCCAGGCCTTAAGGCCTGGAGAAGCAAAACCCTGTCGTATTTTAAACAGGAGAATCAATTACACAGCAGGGGAATACAAGGCTGATTTGGGATTCCTCCCCCAGTCCCCAAGCACTTGCGATTAGTAGCGCAGCCCCTGCTGCGATCCAGATAAAGCTGCAGTCAGGAATTCTCCCTCAAGGCCTCGAGGCAAGTAAATCACTCAGGAGGTCTCCCAGTTGAAAGGCCGACCTCCGCTACCCAGCTGAATTGGCGGAATCGCAAAGAGGCTACAGATCATCGGAACGAGAGCTCCCTAACGAACGAAGCCTGCAGCCTCCTTTTCAAAGCCCAACGGGCTGCAGGGGAGGGAGGACAGAGTCCCTATCCCCCCCCAATGCAATCCTCTTAATTTGGAAGTGAAAGCCGAATTAATCTAATTGTTAATCAATTTGAATTTAAAGTATCCAATTTTAATTGAATAGCCTAAAAGAAAAAAGGAAAGAATCAAACTTAGCTAGGAGCCTTCTGAAAAGCGTCTTGCTGAGCACGAGACTAAGACAAAAACTGGGAAGTCACACCCAGAAGGAGGCGTGGCAGAGTTTTTTTGTCTTAGTCTGAGCAGGTGGGATTAAATTACCCAATCAGTGGAGTCTACATCCATCCTGATGGAGAATAATAGATTTTTGTCCTTAAAAACTGCAGACCAGATTCATTCCTAATTTCAGTATCTGGGTCAAACTGCACATTGGCTTAACCTATCTTTTCAGTTGCTTTTGTACGTCACTCTAGTTGTACATCTTACTTGCTTATGATTATTTTCTATTTTTAAGAAAGATTATAAAATAAATAAAAGAAAATAAAAGTGTAGAAAATAAAAGAATGGATTAGGAATGAATAATTTTTCATCCTATATACCTTTGCTTGATTGTTTTAGCCCTAAATGAGTCTTTAAGTTAAAGATTTTTAATTTTTTAACAAAAAAAAATAGAAATAGAGGCTGACATTATAGTGACTTGCAAAATATTTCATATGTTTGAGCTTATGCTCACAGAAGATTCAAACTATATATGTATCCAATGTAAAACATATAATTACTAGAAGAAAAAGTAAAGGATGTAGAAGCAACTCTAGCCACTCTGAAACTCAGTGAACAAAGTGTGAATTCCCAACTTAAACAAGAAAACTACACTATAATTAAACACAACAAGGAGTAAACAGCTTCTAAAAAAAATCCCATATATGGATAAAAAGAAGAAAACTGATACATCCCAATTGAACACAATAGGGAACAAACAGCTTCTGAAAAATGACCCTATATAGAACCTAAAGAGGAAGACCAATGAAAACATGTCACTTTTAGAAGAAAACAGGAAGAAAACAACTTGCCCTCAGAAGTTGTAGATGCTTTATCACTGGAGGTTTTTAAGAAGAGACTGGAGAGTCACATGTCTTGAACAGAGGGCTGGACTAGAAGACCTCCATGGTCCCTCCCAGCTCTATTCTGATGGATTGATGGATTTGCTAATTTGAGTAGCATAGCAACTGAGTAATTTTAGATTTAAGATAATTTTATTTTCCTTTTTTTTCAGGTTAGGGAATCAGTAATTAATCGTTTCCTGATCGCAAAGCATCATTTTGTTCTTTCTGACTTGGTCAATGAAGATGAGATCCCTACTATTGGGTAAGGAAGAGAATATAAGGCTAGCTCAAAGTTGTAATAACGTGTTTCAGATGTAACATGTTTTTGTCTTACTTTGAAGTGTTTTAATTTAAATATTTTTCAGAAGTGCAATTGGGGCCCTGAAAACCTTGCTTAATTTGAGGCTGTGTCACTTTCTAAGCAAACTTATTTCTAGTTTTGTTTCAATAATGTTTAATGGAATAACATTTAATCTATCTTTGGCTGGCATTTTCAGTTACATTTTCTGAAAACATGAAGATAATTGGAGCTTCATGATGACAATGTGAAATAGGTTGTGTGGAAAAAAATGTATTTCCACAATCATTCTGGACAAAGCCATCTGGAAGTAGCTGTGACAACACTACCATATAAGTAACATAAGGATGTGCATGATGTCACATACAGAACCCATGATATCAGCTATCTCTGGAAGTAAAAGAAGGGCTAGGCAAGGAACTGAAGGAAGGTGGGCAGTTAACAACATTAAAGGCAGAAATGGAAATTCAGTGGAATACGAGACATATACCCGAAAGAGGGAGCTCTCATGCCAGAGTGAAACTGCCATAAAGAGATGTACCATACTTTACTGTCAGTCCTGCAAAGTAGAGCAGACTAAGAAACCAATGCCATGTAGGATAGGACTACTTTTACTGTAAAGTTATAGCAACAGAATCTTGTATCTTTATGTGAAACAAGAAGAAGCTTTTCTGAGACATTTTTTCAAGTTAGTTTTTTGGGAATGGACTCAAGCTCCATTTATCTTGATTTCTTAGTCTGATCTACCTTGTAGGGCTGGCAGGAGCTTTAGTTAAAATTTTTGTCAGCACATTTCATTCCCTCAAAAACCTTTTCTGTTCCCCCATTCGGTTCCAACCCCTGCTTTTATTTCTTCTTTCTTTCCTTTTTAACCAAGTAATTCAAACCATATCTATCTGGAAGTGAATTCCACTAAATGTAGTGGGATCTTTGATGCATATAGGACAGTTCTATATATTTTATGTTACCATGCAGACATTTTTAATTTGGTTTCATCTTTCTTTTCCCTCCTCAGTGAGGGTTTGGGTTGTTCATGCCATGAATTATGTGATACCTATCTGTATATTTCAAGTTGTAATACAAATAATCGATTGTTTGCACATCCACTGAACTTTATTTCACTCTTGGTTTTTCTTTTTGTTCTGCTCTGCCTTCTTCTTTCTAAGTTCTGCTGGCCCAGGGTATGTCAATTTGCATTCTCACTTCTCTGTAGATGGTTGGTTTTGAGATCCATATACAAACCAGTGCATTTTATAGAATTATTATTGTTTAGAAATCATAGTTATTATACAATGTTAGCATGACAAATTATAGCTGCAGAACCTTTATATTTTAGCTCTGTTTTTTTATTGGTAGCTTTTTGAGCGTCAGCCTCTTTACACTGACCGAAGCAAAGCGACCCTTAAAACCAAGGCGAAAAGAGAGGAAGAAAATAACAGCACAGAATCTCTCAGATGGTGATATAAAACTCTTGGTTAATGTTGTCAGAGCATTTGAGCTTCCTGTTAGAAAGTGTGCTGGGAGGTAAGCAACTTTTAATCAAGCTCTTAGCTATGTTCTTCTATGGATAATACATTGGACATTGCTTTAGTCTGTATGTTTGCTGATCAAAATCTTAGAAAGCAGTACTGGAGTATTTATTTCCCCCCTCCCCCAATTTTTAATTATTAGTATTTTAAAGTAGGAAACTACTTGTTCCATTCCTCCAGGTATATAATTCAAAAGTCCCTGAAAAGGTCCTGAAAAACATCTCTCTCATGATGTGATGGTGAGTAAGAAAACAAGAAGAGCTGCAGCCAATGGGAGATCGCAGCTCAAAGCAGGAAAGAAGACATGTTAAAATCTCAGAAGGCATCCTCCTAGTTCCCTGGAAAGTAAAGGCAAGGGTTGGGGGCAGGGGGAGGTGCTTTCAGATTTGCAAGATTCTATTCTTATAATAGAGGTTATAATATGTTATAATAGTTGTAATACCTTATATAGGTAGTCTTCAACTTTTCAACAGTTTGTTTAATGACCATTCAAAGTTACAACAGCATTGAAAAAAGTGACATGACTGTTTTTCATACTCATGACCTTTGCAGCATCCCCATAGTCACATAATCAAAATTCAGATGCTTGACACTGACTCATAGTTATAACAGTTGCTGTGTCCTGGGGTCATGTGAACACCTTTTGTGACCTTCTGGCAAGCAAAAAAGCGGGGGAAGCCAAATTCACCTAACAACTGTGTTTGTCAAGGTTCCAACTAATGAACCCAACCAAGTAAACATCAACAAGACGATCCAATCTCTTTGTGCAAACATTATTGAGTACATCATTTTGGCACGATAGAAAGCAAAACCAGCTTTGATTATTCCCACATAAACTGCTATAATTAAAAAATAGAATTCTCCCTCCCCTTATTAGTGTAGATCACATTGTCTATTCAAGTGTTAAAGTATTGTTATGGGAAAGTATCTTTGTTTGTTGATAGGTACCTGTTGAAACATCCTTGGTTCACATGGTTGGTTTTCTTGTTGTCTGGAGTTTGCATTCCCCTTTCCCCCTTCTTTTATTCAGTATTCATATTCAGTAATTGCCTAGACCCACACCCCAATCTAGGCAAGCCAGCTCAAGGGGCAGCCAGGCAGCCCAACCGAGGGCCCAGCAAACTAGAGGCAGCCCGACTACCACAGCCTTCTCCCTGCCTCCTTCCAGCCACGCAGCCCTTCCTAGTGGAGACTTGCCCCAGGTGGGGGACTGGATCAGTGTTCCTCCCCAGCGAGATCAGCCCCCTCCCCCGCCTCCTGCTAGCCTGGTCTGTCAGAGGACAAAAGGCCTACAGCAATCCATCAGCTGTGAGAAATTGGTGGTGGCAAAATCTGAGGAGGGGAGAAACACAGCAGCAGCAGCAACAGAGACGCTTGAAGCTAGAGAGCTCTGTTCTCTGAAGCTGAGTGACCAGCTGAGAGAAGCAGACCAAACAGCAGAGCTGAGCCAAATGGAAAGCTGCATGGTAGGCCTCACCAGAGCAGAGAGAAGCACCAAAAGACAGAAGGAAGCTGGCAGAGAAAACAACAAAAGGCCAGAGCAGCGAGCAATGGAAATGAAGGCAACATTTAAGCTTGAGGTCTCAATAGGAAGGGAGGGAAAACCCCAGTAAAGAATAAAAATAAATACAGGACAGAAAACAAAACCAAAATAAATAGGCAAATAATAGGGACAAGAGTAGAAAATTAGAAATCAAGGAAGAACAGGACTAATAAAGAGGCAAATCTTAACAAGGTGTAAGGACCCACCTCAATTTTACATCTGAAGAAGGCAGAACTCTTGGAATGTCTCTTCCAACAGGAATCTTTATTAAGAGAAACTGATTGCAGGCATGCCAGACAGGATCTGGGGAATCCTCTTCCACTGTTCACTGTTTTAAAGTGTTCCCAAGCAGCCCCCACCCCACAGTTCTTCCGGGCGATTCGATCTTTCAGTCCGCTCCGTCGGCATGATCACTCTTTTTCTCTTTTTCCAGATTCCAAGCGTTGCATCCCCCCCCCCACTTTTCCCTCACTGCCAGCAAAGAACTTCACAGGGAGTAGCATGAAAGACGATGGCCGCATTGTTATGGTTAGTCCTCTCGAAGAGAATAAACAACCGGTCACTTTGTAGTTAATGAAGGAAGTGAGAGTCCTAAAACCCCCATGCTTATCCTCCTCCCCTTCCGTAGTATGACAGAATCCAGAAGAGAGTAAGAATTGGCTTTATATCAGAGTAGGTAGATAGAAATGAAATATAATTGGATTCTGACACAAGGTAAATCTTAAATAATAAGGTAGGGAGGAATTGGAGGTCAAAAACTTTTTAAAAATAGAGGGAAGAAAAGAATAAATAAAACTAACATAATAGTAAGAAGGTTAAATAAACAACAAGGTAGGAAAACTAGCACAAACAGGCAGAATAAAGGATAGGAAAAAACATAGGCACAATTAACTGGAACAGAAGAAAGAAACAAAGCTAACAGGAAAGCACACCCACTAACAAAAAAAGAGGGATTTTCAAACAACAAAATCATGGAGCAGGTAACTGATACTATTGTGGTATGCAATACATGTTCCATGTATGTGCTTATGTCCAAAGAACACCCAATTAAACATGCATTAGATGTGAACTTACTTGGTAATAGGAGATTCTATCCTCAAAGGAACAGAATCAACCATCTGCAGTCTAGACATACAACCAGGGAGATACAGTATGTTGTCTTCCTGGGCAAAAATCAAAGATATGGCCGAGAACCTAACTAAAATAATTAGGTCCACAGATTACTACCCTTTCTCCTCCTTCACATCGGAATGAATGACACAACAAAGAATCTGAGTACAACATTGAGAGATTATAAGCAACTAGGCAATAAAGTTAAGGAGCTAGGAGCACAAGTAGTGTTCTCATCAGTATTCCCAACAAAATGCCAACCCCCATTGAGAGAAAAAAGAATTCTAGAAATAAAACACTGGCTAAAGGGTTGGCGTTGGCAAGAATGCTTTGGTTTCCTGGACCATGGACTTCATTTTCTATGTGAAGGACTCTTGGCAAGGGATGGACTGTACCTCACGAAAACAGGAAAATGTACTCGGAAAAAGACTGGCCCAACTGATCAGGAGGGCTTTAAACTAAAATTGAGAGGGAAGGCTGACCAATCTTTAGAATCTCTAGAAGACAAAACCAGTCATAAATCCCAAGAAAACAAATCAAACAATGAGGTTTAGAGTGATGAGAAAAAAGAAAAACTCCAACAACAATCAGGAGATGCAGGAAACATACCCACAGAAAGACATAAAGGTCTTAAATGCTTATATACAAATGCTCAAAGCTTGGGGAACAAACGGTGAACTAAAAGCAATAGTACATGAGGGCAGGTATGACATAGTTGGTATTACAGAAACCTGATGGATGAAACTCATGATTGGAATGTACTAATGGATGGATGCAAGTTGTTCAAAAGAAACAGAACTACAAAAAGAGGAAGGGGAGTTGCACTATATGTAAGAGAACACTACATATCTATAGAAATGCACGTGATCAAAGATAAAATCCCTCCAGAATATATATGGGTCAATATAAAAGGGGAAAAAGTGACATTGCCATAGGTCAGTGTTTCCCAAACAGCATTGCTGGCTGTGGAATTCTGGGAGTTGAAGTCCTCATGCCTTAAAATTGTCAAGTTTGGGAAACCCTGCCATAGGTGTATATTACAGGCTACCCAACCAACCAGAACAAATACAAGAACTCTTTGCCAACCAGTTAACAAATGTATGTAGGAAGCAAAACCACAGTAGTAATGGGAGGCAAACTCTGCAGTGAGTGGGAGATCAAACACATTCTTAACCGACCTAGCTGACAACTTTGTTACCCAAAAGGTAAATAAGGGAACTAGAAGTAAAGCTATTCTGGACCTAATTCTTACTAATCGAGGAGAAGTGATAGAGGGAATTAAAGTTGTCAGAACCTTGGATGAAAGTGACCACATCATGCTAAAATTCAATATAATGCAAACACAAGCAATAAAAAATAATCCAACCAGAGTCTTAAACTTCAAAAGAGCTGATTTTAACAAACTCAGAGAACCTAGGAAAGATTTCATGGACGAAACTCCTAAAGGGGAAAACAACGCTAGAAGCATGGGAAACTCTGAAAACTATGATCATAAAAGCCCAGTCCAGCACAATACCACTGAAAAACAAAAAATTCAAGAAGAAACCAGCATGGCTGCACAAAGCTCTCTCTGACAAACTGAAAGACAAAAAAGGATAAGTACAAAAAATGGAAAGAGGGACACATAAACAAGGCTGATTATCAGCTGACAGCCAGAACATGCAAAGATAAAGTCAGGAAAGCAAAGGCTCAGAATGAACAAAGACTTGCAACAGAAATCAAGGACAATAAAAAGTTTTTTTTATTAAAATTTTTTGCAATTTTACAATAAAATCCCTCTCCCAGTGCCTCCCTACCCTCCCAGAAACCCTCCCCCCGTCTTCCCAGAGCTGAATACAGGGTTAACTAGAACTAAAAATACAAAACATTTAAACTTAAATAAACCTCAAACAAATATTACATTAAAAAAAAACAACAAATTTTTAAGTACTTTAAGTTAAATATATATATATAATAAAAAATACTTATTATCTTAAACTTAAACATAAATTATTCAAAAGCTAAATAATATCTTTTAATATCATACTTATACTGTATAAAGTTTATCCATCTTTTCCACACCAAGAGATATTTCTCTTGCGATTGATCTTTCAAATAAGCCGAAATTTTTGCCATTTCAGATAAGTAAGAAACTTTAAAAAACCATTCCTCCAAAGTAGGCAAAAATTCCTTCTTCCAATATTGTCCTATCAACAACCTTGCCGCTGTGATTAAATTTAACATTAAAATAATTTCTTTATCATCACAATCAACAATAATACCTAACAAAAACAATTGTAGAGTGAATTTTATCCTTCTATTAAAAAATTTTTGAATATTCCACCATATCTTTATCCAAAAAG